GGATGAAGATGATCTGCGATGCCTTCGCGAATGCTCCTCGTCTGTAGCAGGAGTTCCTTTATAATTGTTGCTTCCTTCGCGAATGCCTTCGGTCTCGCAGGTCTCGGTTGTGTTTCCATGAGTGTCTTCACCAGTGGTTCTTCTGCGAATGCCTTTCACGAGATTCGTCACGAGCGTTGCTGTCATCCTGGGCGTTCCCTTCACGAGTGTTTTCTTCACGCAGGTTGCGTCCTTCTCCTGAGCGAACCTACGTTCCATCAGGTCCATCATCTGCTGGGTAAACTGCTGCATAAAGATGCCCGGGTTGAAGGTCTGCGCTGATAACTGCTGTTGTTGTACAGATGACGCTGCATCTGACAATGCTGAGGTGTCATCTAAGGACTGCCTGTCCTCTCTGGTAGTTGCAGTCTGCGCAAATAGGCCGTCTGACTGCGTTGATATAGTTGCATAACGTCAGTGTAGAAGAAGATCTCGTCTTCTTTCTCACCGGTACTTCAGGGATGAGGATCGGCGGTTCATCGTAAACGTCTGCTTCGTCCGATGGTTTGATATCTGCGGCGAAGGATCTCGACTTCTTCGCTGCCCCCATAGACGACTTGACTGTAGACTTGTCTGAAGACGGCTTAGTCTTCACAGCAGGCAGCGTCCTGGTCTTCTTGGACTGCGACGAAGATTGTTGAGTTGAAGATGATCTTTTCCTAAGGCTGCAACCCTCAATTCTCTGCTCTGCAGACGTCACTGGCAGCACACTGGAATGATGTACCTTGACAGACAACAACCCTCGGTTATTAACGCATTCACCCTGTTGAGACATGACTTGTAATTGCCGTCTCAATTTGTCCTTAGCACGTCTATGAACAGAATATAAATAATTACAAAATTCAATTTAAGATAAATGCTAACAAAGGTTACAGCGGAGGCTGGAAGAACATATAGAAGTGCAGTTAGGACATAGTAAATGCGGATCAGCAGCCGACAATCGAAACCTACAAGAAATGCAAGTCTTCGTGAAATGTAAACAAGTTGAGACATGTTGTCAACAACATGAAAAAACGGACAAATTTAGAATAAATTTCAAACCATATTGTTGGTACAGCCTAATTTAGATTAAAAGCCTAAAATTCAAAGGATATATGCCGTATAGGGGACCCAGGCGCGCTCTCACAACCGTCCACTAGGGCGAAGAAGGAGAGAGTGACAAGCATGGCCGATCATGTGACCTTTTTCGCGCCAAAAGATGGGCACAGGGGAGACAACTGGGGTGAGTGATTTTACGTCCAATTTTTCTGAAGGGAGCTTCAAAAGGGGATTCAAGTGTTCCACTATAGTTCGCAAGAAGTAGAAGACAAGCAATTAAGCATGAGTCAGGATAAGGGAAAATAAGATGCTTTTATTATTATTATATTTATATGCGGCCCTTTTGACTAGGGGTCTGCGGCCCTTTTGACTTTTTGATGTGGCCCTTTTGACTTTTTGATGCGGCCCTTTTGACTAGGGGTTTGTGGCCCTTTTGACTTTCTTGCGGCCCTTTTGACTTTTCCGTTTTGCGGCCCTTTTGTCATGCGACCCTTTTGACTAGGACCCACTTGGAACGAGCTTGTAGTGCTCATGAAATGTAACAGACAAAACCAACCTTGTGAAAAATATTGTTAATGCAAAAAAGTGTTCCAGAATTGTTTATGTTCGATTATGAGAAAACATGATCGATTGCTTGGTTGTTTAGTCACTGCGACCAATCTTCGATTATTTCAATTAATCGGACCACAACTTGTGGAAGTGCCTGACTCTGTGGGTGTGGGTTTGAAATCCCAGATGGGACTCAACCCAAAAAGGTACTAGAATTTGTACTTTACTAAGAAAGTGTAATCACAAATATAACATATGTTACATGTGAGCCAGAAGTAAACACAGGCAAGTCGTTAAGTCTAGTATCTAATGATGTATACCAAAGACTGTGCCGTACTGATCGTAGATGTTTGATTCATATTCAGAGGTTCGTCACACTAGGTGGAATGACGAATGTGGGTGAGATCAGCAAACTTTAGCGATTGTAGAACTCATAGGATCAAGTTCAACGAAATAATGTAGGTTCGGAGAACACTGTATGACCACTACCCATGATGAAACCGAAAGTCTGGGGATCGGCGATCTGCTGGTATGTGTCCGAAGGATGTAAAACTCATCTCAAGTTTGCCTTTGTCTGATGTCTCGCGGAATTCAAGGGGATCATCAAGTTGTGAGGACCGGCCGCCACTTGACAGTTCGAAAAATGTGGGTTCGCTGCATCTTTCCAGTTTGTCAATGTGGGTTCTGAGGACCAGTACCCGTAATGAAACTGATGGGTCGGGGAATAGGCAATCCACTCAATGCATCCGAGTTTTCATTCAAAAATAGTTTGAGGGCATATCTAGAAGTCGTCTTGATCTGATACATTTGTGAACGCTCTTCACAGACCTCTTGGTTTTCTTAGTTGAAGAAGGGCAGAATTTTTCTGACTGGTGTCTGGAGTCACGGTCAACAAGGCGCAGTTGCAAAATCCAATGCAAGACGCATGAGGATCCGGAGTTAAAAAAATCTGCTTGTAATCAGCACAATCTTTCCATTCTTTCCTTTTAGACACAGATGATGATGTTAAAGTCTACTCTAAGTCAGTTTATTGACAGAGTTACAGCATGTCAGCACTGCAGTGCAAGAAAGAAGACAAGAAAGAGAATGACCACACAAAGGAATCACACGATCAATCAGAAGACAAGCTGCATGCTTCACAGGTGAGTGAGTGAGTGAGTTTTGTTTTACGCTGCACTCAGCAATATTCCAGCTATATGGCAGCGGTCTGTAAATAATAGAATCTGGACCAGACAATCCAGGGATCAACAGCATGAACATCGATCTATGCAATTGGGATACAATGACATGTGCCAACCAAGTCAGCGTGCCTGACCACCTGATCCCGTTAGTCGCCTCTTATGACAAGCATGGGTTACTGAAGATTAATTCTAACCCAGACCTTCACAGGTCATGCTTCACAGGAGCTGCAAAGCTGTCCAGATAAGGGAGCAGCAGGGGTGTGTTAAGGATAGAGGTTCAGAGAGGCCCAAAACTTCAGTTACAGTTCATTTCCATTCATTTGCAAAACCTGAGAGAGAGAGAAGTACAAGACGTGAGATAGGATAAGTTCAATTTCCCTTTACAGTAAGTTTGAATGATATCCTTCAAGTAACACCCCTGGGTGAGAAACCCATGTGAGAAAACTGGTCTCACACATATGTGTGAGATCGATTTCTAATCCCATGATTGTCTATGCCATGGTGATGACCTAGGGTCAGGTTATGATGGACTACTTTCCTGATTAAAATTCATTTATAAGTTACTCGTGCTTCAATCGAACAGAAACCTGTTACTCGTGCAAAAAATACCTCTTTACACCTACCTGTTATTTTTGCGATTGCAACAAAAAACAGGTATTTATACAATGAGTCACAACTAGAATAAATATAACATGAATCTTTTTATTTTCTAATTCCTTTTATTAAAACTTTTGATTTATAGTCATGAATTCAAAATGGGTCAAAGAATGAGTGATACCTGTGTAAACAATTACATGTATGTGAAAATCACCGTTAGAGATAAAGCCCTTGATTTCCCTTGATTCTCTTCGAATATTCAAAATGTACAACACTGGTACTTTTACTGGAGAGATGCGACAAGTGTCATCTTGCAAAAATACCTGACACGATAACGTCAGTGCCTGTCCATTGTGAGATCGATTTGCCTTGTTGTTTCTTTGATGCATTGATGAAGATGACATTTTTCACTGATAAACATGAAGACCCACTTCCAGCTCCGAGATACTATGTGATTCCAATGTTATCAAATTCACTCATGACAATCAGAACCAAAACATACTCGTTGAAACAATAAACAACATGGTACGTTTTGCAAGGCTTCATGAGTGCAAATGGCGGCACACGTCCTTTCTATTCAATCGAACATGTACAGGGCCTAGATTTTCGAAGCTCTCTTAGCGCTAAGATAGTCGTAAGTTAATGTTATGTATGGCACTTACGACTATCTTAACGCTAAGAGAGCTTCGAAAATCTAGGCCCAGGAACGGTTGATCTACACATAAGTCATTGGTCAAGATATTCCTCTGCCGCATGATAATGAAAAGTTTATGTCTTGATAACTTACAGGATGTAATCAACTCACATTTCATAATGAAAACTCCGTAAATTCCATTACATTCCAAGTGGCACTTTCTGGCTCAGGAAAACGAGAAGGATGTGGCGATGAAGAGTACTCCCCCATTGATAGTGAATGTAACCTCAGTAATGTCACATTCAAGCACACTGGGTGCACCTAATTACACACACTCAAACGTTTTGGCTCCGGATAAATGGGAGAACATTGAACGCAAACTGGTACACAAGAACATATCCCCAATGTGCAGAGATATCCAAAACAATCTTCCGATGACGACAACCACCAAGCGATAACGATGACGTCACACGCTCAAATATTTTATGCTTGCAAGAATTAAAATCATCCACATTTGCATGGTAACATCATCGTTTTAGAGGGTTTAATTAATTTTCTGTGATCTTATCTAGTTATCATTATCACTATTGCCTTGATGATGCGAAGAGTTGGCAGAAACCTATTTGTGGAGGGTCACCATGGGGATGAGTAGTGATTAGGAAGCCAAGTGACGTCACTCATTCAGAAACGTTGTGTTGTGTATTATTGTGCACCTACGAAGAGAAAACATGAAATTTGAATCTATTCGACCATAAAATGGTGCGATTTTATGGTGTGTAAGAAACAGATTACTGTACTCGTGTCTGTCAGATACCATTTATCTTACAACTCATAAGATAAATGGTATCTGACAGACACTCATTTAGTAATCTCTATATACCTGTCAGTGATTTACACATACATTAAATCATTCTCACATGCAGTTAAATTATTCTTAAAAGATTTCATGCTTTGAAAGTTACCTCTTTCTCCAGTTTATCTATCAGTTCATCATATTCTTTCTTTTCCTTTTTCTTTTTTTCTAGAAACAGTTTAGCCTGAAATCTTCTGTATGATGTTTGAATTGTTCTTGCAGCGTCATCCTCCCTGGTCCATACTTTCTCCTTTGGCTTGGCTTGCTCTGTTTTCCTTCCAGTTTTCCCTTTCCCTGTTGAGGTGACTGGCTTTTTCCCTAACAGAACAGAACACATTGTCACTCATGTTAATTACTTTCAGATTTAAGTTTCAAAATCAAATCAGTTGTGTGCTTTTGTTTTATTCATAATCTGTTGCATATGGGAAAATAAATTCCTAAATGTACTTTCTTTTATAATAACCTGTCATATAGGAATATGCTGTGATCTGGACTTTCATTTTGGCATCCTTGGTGTGAAGTTGCCTTTTTATGGTGTACAAAATCCACCTAATCCCAACAATAATGCAATGCCAACGTTATATGATGCAACAACATCCCCAGAACTTTGATGAGGGAAATCCAGAGTTTGCATGGTTCTTCGCCCGTTACTGAAACCACTCAGAGGCAAGCTATGAAAGAGCGTATATCATAAGAGGAATGGCACTAACCTCTACACTCAGATTATTGAAGGAGGGTGAAAATGCCCCCAAAACATGGATGTACTTTAAGACAAGCTCCCATTGACACATGTTGATGACCTACCCTGCATTTTGGATAGAATGGTTTTTTTAATTCTGCAAAAGATGTGGAAATAAGTTTTTAAAAGTATTGTTTTCCTGGTTTTCAAGGCTCAAACAGCATATATGGCATTAATTGTCAATATGTGTCTTGTATATTCCTATATTAACTCTATGCTTGTGAGGTGAAGTGGAGTTATCTCCACTTATGTTTATTTTGGTTCATTCAGTTGGACATTTAATATAAGATTTGGGAGCACCTTTACAATTCAGCACCACGACTTCTTGTGAGGACATTCTCTGCTGTGGGTCACGTGTTTCAAAGACAAACAACCAGTTTGTGTAAATCCATCGAACGCAAACTCGCGACCTTTGGATTGCTAGCCAGACAGCTAACTGACTGAGCTACGTCCACACTGTTACACAATGTGCAAATTTATCAATTCATTCCTGTGACGTCACGGAAATGAATGGAAAGGGTCTAATAAGTCTCGGACAATTACGAAGTAGACTTGGTGTCTCGTGATTATAATCTATGGACAATTGCCGCATGGCCCCAATGCCATTTGGCACACTCGTCCCATTACGTAATCTACAAGATACCATGTGGTGTGGAAAGACCCAATATGGCTCAAACTGAAAACGGTTGTTGACGTCAGGCGTCAGACGTCGATTTCACGGTGCATGCATGAATGACGTGCTTTTATAAAAATCATCAGGTGCTTTTGTGACAGAAAAGTGTTGTAGGGAGCACTGTAAGGATAATGTGGATTGCACTAAGGAATGAGGGAGACATGAGCATGTCTAGTGACAGCACGAGGGTGAGTTAGCCTTTGAATAATTGCTAAAGAAATGTTGCGTGAGAAAGAGGCTTGAGTGCAAGTTCCAGGACAATTTCCATAAGCCCAAAATTTCAACATTAAACCATTTCATTGTGTACTTTCGACATTTTTGGCTCCCATTTTTGTGTGAAAAAAGTGTCACAAATGCAAAAGGATAAAACAACTAATGGTATTCATGCATTACACCGGACATCTACCTACTATATTGGATTAGATCCCCAACCCTAACCCTCACCCTAACACCTTTAAATGATCCTAATAGAATACATTGACCGAACTGGCACGAAAATTGCTGACATGTCCAGTATAATGCATTCTTACCGCTTTGAAAAATAAAATACAATAAACTCCATTTCTGTGTAATGGTGCAAATTACTGAATGAAAAAAATATATATGTATATCAGTTCATATTTATAAATCATTTAGTCCTAATAGTTACGTTGAAACCGAAATATAAAATATATTTGAATAATTAAATTGACCAAAACTGCGAGTAATAGAATATGGCAGAATGTGATTGGTGTAACGCATTCTTACTAAATTAAAAAAAAAGGCAAAATACAAAAATACACAAAATATAAAATCTCAGCACCCCGTAATACAAATGAATAGGAGAGTATTAGTGAAAAAAGATAAATATTTTAAACTGGTGCTTGCGAAAAATTGTGCATCCACCAGTAAACAACTACAGGAAACTCTCAACATCATTGGGATTATGCAATGACATAGCTAGTAGAGATGCACCATCAGTGAGCGGAGCTTATATGCACTTGCTGATATAGACAATCGTGTTGCTATGCAGGCATCATAGGGCATTGTTTGGAGAACGTGCTTTCTAACAAAATCACATAAAATTACGTAAAAGGGTATTATTGTGATATAGGCCAGCTGGAGTTGCCTCCCTTAGACCATATGTGTAATGCGTGTCACATCATGATGTACAATGGAATTGATGACGTAATAAACAGTCTTGAGCCCGCCATTTATTCTAGTCAACATCACATGGTGTCAGTTGCGGGATCTGAGACGAATGGATCAGTTAAAACCCCCGAATGAACTTAGTTTCGAAGGAAACTTATCAGAAAACTGGCGAAGATGGATTCAGAGGTTTGAATTATACCTCGTAGCCAGCGGAACCGCTGCAAAGTCTGATGCTGTCAAGTGCGTGACGTTGCTGCACGTGGCCGAGATGCAGCATTGCAAGTATTCAATTCGTTTGAATGGACAAATGAAGGTGATGACAAGAAGTTAGATAAGGTTAAGCAGAAATTCCAACAATACTGTGAACCAAAAAAGAACTTAACGATAGAGAGACATGCATTTTTTTACGAGATCACAGAAAACAGGTGAAACTATTGACCAATATGTAACAGACTTGAAGAATAAAGCAAAAAGCTGTGAGTTCGGAACGTTGACAGAAAATTTGATCAAAGACAGAATTGTCTGTGGGGTGAACAGTGATGGCATGAGAATGAGACTTTTGAGAGAACCTGAGTAGTATACACAATGGGGGTACTAGATAATTTCCAACAAAAGCTTCTGTAAAGCTTCATTCACGAAATAAAGCTTTTGTCAGGCCCTTATCTCCCTCCCGCTATTGTATATACCAGCTTTGAACCCCCCAGTTAACTTCCTGGTCACTATGACCGCGAACCGACACTTTCCTGATCACGTGGCACTATTGTGATCGCCCTATGTCGTGTTGACAGGAAACAGTTTAATGTGAGCTGGATACTATTAGGATTACTCGACAGTAAGTGTTAAATATTTTGCTTGACGGCGGCCCGTGGCTGCCCTACATGATGTTGATCTCAGCAAAACAGTTTAACGTGAATCTCCTATGATTTCTTTGGTTTTCGTAATGAAGGCTTGCTAGGCTTGTTGTATCCCCTGTTCTATGTACTTTTTTTTCTCGTCTTCACTGATGACAGTGCTTTTACGAGACTTAGTTCGAATCTCTCGTTTCATTTCGTGATATTTTGTGAGTTCAGAGAGGACCAAACGAAACTCTTCCTCTGAGATTTTATTGTCAGTGAGTGCGGTGGAAATATGGTCGTCTATGGTGTTTAACTTTGCATCGGCTATGATCCTTATCTCGTTGTGTTTCAATGCCTTACGATGCAGTCTGCGTGACACAAACTTAAACACTAATCCAGCCAACCCTGACACCCCAGCTGTTATTTCGATGCCTAGCACTACGGGTGCGGCTACGATGGTGGTCAACAACCCCACACCTACTGCCCCTAACCCCATACTGGTAGCCATAAGGGTGGTATCAACCCCATCCATGACAGGTTTTCCCCGAGATAGACTTCTATGATGAGTGTGGAGTCTGGTCTCACAGTCATAAGACCCAATTGGGAATCAGGGCCGTCAAACCTTAACTCGTCATTCCAACCTGAAAATAACATGTTGCTCGTGTGATCCGGTGTTAGCTGAGCACTTATATCAGACCCCCCCGGAATGAAAGCCCCGAGCAAGATACCGTTGTTCCTAATTTCGGTGATGAGGTCATCCTTGTCAAAAGAGACGTAAGGTGAGGTGAGGGCCATGTTGATCAACCATTTGGGCTCTCTAAAGTCGTCTGCCAGAGGCTGCCGTATGTACACGCCGTCTCTTAAGAGCAGGACGTACGAGCCGCCGTCCTCGCCGTGTCTCCTAGGTCGTTAAGCGTGGCGTTGGGCGGATGACGATTGGACATTGCTATAATACTATTACGAGATAGTTTCCAATTGTTTTTCTGATAACTTCTCAGGGGTGCACTTCACCCCCATGAAGTGTATGTTGTCAGGTAGGAAGATCTTGGTGAGGGATATCGTGTCTTCCACGGTCACAGTGACCCCCCTGCAGACTGGTGTGGGAGTCAACACCCACCCGCACGTAAACAGTGCAAACCTGATACTGGTGTTGTTTCCCCCACCGGAGTTTGATCCCCTTCACGACTTCGACTTCGCGCTGTGGTTCACCTAGGTAGACTTGGATGACCAGCGTGGAGTTCGCCGGTAGACTCTCCAGGATGTTGACCACGCCTTCGAATTCAGACACCACCTGCAATGCCACGTTTTGCATCCCGGGCTTGCTCGACAGCATGTGGGCTGCCATACTGGAGAGTGGGCTGATGATTACACTACGTCTCTGCGCCAGGATGTAGGCCACGAGCAGGGTTCCGTTGTTCACGACTTTGTTTAGGTAGTTGTCTTTGTTCTCCGTGAACACGTAGGGGGAGCCGAGACTAATGTTTAGAAACCAATCCACTCGAGAGGGCAAAAACACCCACTTGTCGTCGTCGGTGAAGACGAGCGTATATGGCTTGTTTCGGGCGACGGTCGTCCTCTCAACATCTTCTAAGTCGAACAGTTTGCCTCCGAACGATGGGTATACCGACCATCTATCATCACCGATGCGGACTAGGTCGAACCGAGTGTTGAGGGCCGCTCCTGAGGTATCTACTATATCACCTAGGATTCTACCGATGGAGGGGACTTCAATGCGTTTGTAAATGTTATTTTTAAGCTGCAAGGCGTACAGTTTACCATCTAATCCGCGTGTGTCCCCGAGGTCGGAGATCCCCACATTGATACATTTTTTCAACTTCATTCCAGGACCTTGTGCGCTAGTCATTTTATGTGCAGAGTTATGCTGAGGTATCCTATATTCACAGGATTATGCTTTATATCTAAAACCGATATTGCCAAC